GTAGAAGCTTTGGCTTTTGAACCCCTCAGCCAGTTACTGTACTGGGTGGATGCTGGTTTTAAAAAGATTGAGGTATGTGTATTCCTGTGCTGTTCTTAATTATGTAGGCGGGTGGGGCAAGTGGGCTTTGAGCCAGATTTGGCACAGAGACAGGAATCAATGTACCAAATTACTACGGAAATTTCCTGAGGATTTCTGGAGAAGGGACTGGCAGAGACTCTGACAAAGGTAGAAAAAGGGGGAAATCTCAGTGTGACTGTTCACTGCCATGAAGGGCCCATATGAGAACAGGTCACTGGAATCCAACAGAGATTTTGTTAAGATGCCTGATAGTTTGTATTTTGGCTAGCAGAAGCAGAGTGTAATAATACCATGGTGTAATGATAATGCTGTTACAATAGCAGTGTGGTATTACTGTTATGGGCTAGAGTAATAATGATAATATCATCATCATCATCGTTCTTAATCTCTACTTCACAGCTATGCCACTTAGTTACCTGGTAAGCTCTGCTGCTTTATATACCCAAGGCAACACGAGGATAGTGAACAGCCTCTAACTGCCAAGGTCATTGTCTTGAGGAGTGTGTGTTCAATGGACTCCTGCCGAGGGCATGGCCTCAGTGCCCCTTTCTCCTGGCTGTCCCTGGAGGTACAGCAGGCAGGTTAAGGGGGCAGCCTGGTAGAAGCAGGGACACCGGAGGGCCAAGAGGAATTGTAAGACCGAACACACAGACTTGACAGACGTGGGTTCAGGGTTTACTCTGCTAACCCAGGGGCACGGGGCAAGGTCCTCATGCTCACTAAGCTTCAGTGTCTTCATGTGTAAGATGGAGAGTCATTCATTCCCTGGCAAGATGGGTGCCAGGCGTGGTTTCAGGTTCTGAGGACACAACACTGGGCAAGTCATACAAATTCCTGTTCTGATGGAGCTCAGATTTCAGTGGAGGAACCAAAGTGACACAGAAATCGGTTCTGTTGATGATAGTGCTGTGGGGAATGTACAGTGGGGGCCGGGGGATCATGCTGTGGGGGAGTGGAGCAAGATAGGAAAGGGGGCACAGATGCGTCTTGAGGGTGTGATGTCTGAGCTGATCCCTACCTGTGAGGAGGAGGATTTTAGTGTCCTCCTCACTACCAGAAGTGAACATGATGCCCAGTGCCCAGCACCTCCTGAGCATTGCCTGGGGGTCTTGGTGCTGCCTTTCTCTCCTTTCTTTGCCTGTGGCCAGAGGAATGCAGGTGGAGCCTAAGGGTCTGCTTTCCACAGGCTTGTGGAGCGACCACTATGTATTTCAAATACTATTTATGCAGAATGGTGTGGATGGTTCAGTGACCAGACATACTGATGCTTGTTGCTCAAGGTGGGTCACAAGAGTTAGGAAAGGGTGTGGGCCTGGAGATGAGTTTCCAAGGAAAGTTAAGACTCTATGAGAATAAGCAGTGGGGTTGGCAGGCTTGGAGAACCATGAGATCACACGCCCAGCGGAAGAGAAGAGAATCTGAGTCCCATCTGCAGACTCTTCATTGTAAGGCAGTGACACTGGAATATGTTTGGGGGCAGCATAGAGCCATCAGTGAGTTTGGAATACTTGCCTGAGCACTTGTTGAGTGCCTGCTCTATAGACGTCCTCACTCCCTGGGAATTGGGAGCATCAGATGTGGCTCTAGCTCCTTTATCAACTTGTGAAAGTGGTCACATGAGCGAGCGGGAGTTGCCATTCCCAACTCCTTCTGAATGGCAGTCAGGGCAGGTTTCCCAGGCCATGTGGTAAGGGATTTCAGGGAGGCAGAGAGAGGGTGTCTATAGGCAGAAGCTGAGTAAGGAGCCTTTGGCAAGGTGGGTCTTTGAAGGAGCCCAGATGCATGTCAGCCTTCTCCCCCTGTTTTTGTCAGGTAGCTAATCCAGATGGTGACTTCCGACTCACAATCGTCAATTCCTCTGTACTCGATCGGCCCAGGGCTCTGGTCCTTGTGCCCCAAGAAGGGTAAGTGTAGCTGCAAAAGGACATCAGCATTATGTCAAATCCTGCAATGATAGATTCTCATGGAAACATAAACTGCTGGACAAAAACTGTTTCTCATGACTGCAGTTGAAATAATCTATTTACTGAGATTTTTGACACTGTAGCTTAGTCATCATGGTCAGGTAACTCCATTTGCTTTTCATTAGGAAACGTCAAAATCTCCTGGGACATTCAGATGTCTTAGAAAGGTGATGTTGAAAGAGAGTCTCTATAGACTCGGGCAGGCCTGCTTAGACCCTGGGAGGACTCTTGAGTTTTCTGAATGGTGCAGACATTCAATTTAGTGTTCTCAACCTTCCTAAGGCCGCGACTCTTTAATACAGTTCCAGTGGGTCGTGACCCACAGGTTGAGAACTGCCAATTTAATTCATTCTCTGCTCTGATTTCACAGAATGCACGTGGGGAATGCAAAGGTGCTTTTTATTCAGTCATTAACTGAAGGCAACACAACTAAGAGGGGAATTCTGGATTAGCCTTTTTAAAAAGGCTTTTCTCTCCTGGCATTTGTGATGTAGAACACTTGTCTCAAAGAAATTCTAAAAATCCCATATGGACTCCATTGAAAATATTTAGAAAACAGAAGTTGATGAAGTAAAAAGTGCATTTTCTTCTTCTTAACCCTTCACCCTGGTACTTCCTGGGGATAATCATTGTTAATAATTTGTGTATCATCCACCATAGCTTTTACTCGTATATTCCTATTATCCTCAAAACACACACACAACAAATAGAATCATAATGTGTTTACTATTCTTTACCTTTTAAAAAATACTTAATGTTTATTGACAGTAGTTTCATGTATATTTTATTGCATGCACCATAACATAGAACTATCTCTATAGATTAATACATTTCCTTGTACATTATCTTTGCATAATTTGATTCTATCCATACATAAATTTCAGTAGAGGGATTTCTGGGCCAAGGAGTTAAGTGTTTTCAAATATTACAATTATAGATTATTATAATAACATTGAAATAGCCAGCCTGATTGTTCTGGAGAGATTTCTCACATTTTTGGAGCAGTATTTGAGTTCCCATTCCTCTAGTCTTTATGGGAGGTGTGTTCTGTTCCCATTTGGATCAGGGTGATGTTCTGGACGGACTGGGGAGACCTGAAGCCTGGGATTTATCGGAGCGACATGGATGGTTCTGCCGCCCATCGTCTGGTGTCTGAGGATGTGAAGTGGCCCAATGGCATCTCTGTGGATGACCAGTGGATCTACTGGACAGATGCCTACCTGGACTGCATTGAGCGGATCACTTTCAGTGGCCAGCAGCGCTCGGTCATCCTGGACAACCTCCCGCACCCTTATGCCATTGCTGTGTTTAAGGTGAGCCCGTTTGTGGCCACTGTCTGCTAGAGCTGGTGGAAAACGTCCTGATGGCGAGAGCCTGCCAACTCTGGGCATTTGCAGGGATGCCATCTTGCATCTGAAAAGAATGGCTCATTCCCAGATTTGAGATAATTTATTTCAGTCTATTTGGAGGGATACCAGGGGCATCAAAAGGTTAAAAGTGAAGGTTGCTCCTGTGAACATTCTTGGTTTGCCCTTCAGTGTCGGGAGCGTCATTTGGGGGCGTCCTTATCTTATCTCTTGTAAGCTTGGGGGCATCCTCGTCTCTTGTGACGCTTGCTCACTTCATGCCCCGATGACTTCTGATGAGCTTTGTCCTACTGTGGTGCCTCGCAGTTTTGTTTGACTCTAGAGAACAAATGGCTCTTCTCTCGTTGGGAAGCAGATTTCACATGGGGAGGAACGGGCTTGTAGTCAAACCCAAATGCTTGTCAGATACTTTCTTCTGGGCATTTCCTTCTGGGGGGATATCTGGTAAGGTTTAGATAAAATTATTGACTGTTGCATTTCAGTGGATTCTTGGTCAGGTCAATCATTCACCAATAGATGTCAGTTGTCTCCCGTCAATTCACAATAGATGTCTCATCTTTACAGAGAGTCCAGAATAAAGATCTAGAGAGCTGACTAACAAGCAAAGGTTTTCCTTTTAGAATGAAATCTACTGGGATGACTGGTCACAGCTTAGCATATTCCGCGCTTCCAAATACAACGGGGCCCAGATGGAGATTCTGGCCAGCCAGCTCACGGGGCTGATGGACATGAAGATTTTCTACAAGGGAAAGAACACCGGTAAGGCGAAAACCTCCTCTCTTGTCTCTGTGGAGTTGATCTCAGGAAGGGGACTGCGTGTGGGCAATCTCCGCTCAGAGCCGGATCTGGCAGCCTGCATCTTTGTTGTCACGACAACGTGCACATTATTTAATTTCTTCCTAATGACATCTTAATTTCTTTTCTAACGATACACAAACAGCTGGAAGACAGCGTGTTTTTGCCTGCCTAGAGTGTTGGTGCTGGGTGGGTAATTACACCCTCCTCCTGCCCTTGGCCCCTTACTGATTGGCGGTGTGGCTTCTGTTGCAGCTGGGAGAGTCCCAGCGTGTGCCTAATCCCTGCTTGGCGCACGGACAGGGAGAGATGCTGTGCTGGGTGTTCTGACGGTGGTTGCTTGCTGACAGGGTTTCCTTCTTACTCTGCAGTTGTGCAGATGGCCTTTGCTCACGGAGCAGACTTGCCTCTGTTGCGATGGTGTGTGCGGTGACTTGTTGCTTTATTTAATTTCCCCCACCGTGAAACTCTAAACCCCACAAAGGAGGAGAGTATGTCTTTTGTTTTTCCTCGACAGTCTACCAATGTTTAGCGCTTAGTAGGTGCTCAATTCAAATTTGCTGAAAGAAGGAATGAAAAGGGAGGGGGAAGAGTTTCAGTGGGTGTGGATAAGTGTTTTTCAGCCTTTTTCATTTCATGGCACACTTGAACCTGCACTTCAACTTCTGTGCCACACTTAAATTATATTGATTTAAAAAAAAAAGTAATAAAAAGAATATACTTACTGTGCTTTGAACTTCTTTTGAAAATAACTTAATGATTTCTTTTTTTCTTGAGGCAAAGTCTCACTCTGTCGCCCTGGGTAGAGTGCTGTGGCATCATACCTCATAGTAGCCTCAAACTCTTGAGCTCAAGTGATCCTCTTGTCTCAGCCTCCTGAGTAGCTGGGACTACAGGCGGCCATCACAACGTCCACCTATTTTTAGAGATGGGGGTCTCACTCTTGCTCAGGCTGGTCTTGAACTTCTGAGCTCAAGCAGTCCGTCCTCTTTGACCTCCCAGAGTGCTAGGATTATAGGCATGAGCCACTATGCCTGGCCTTTATTAATGATCTTTAGAAATTTTCACAGCACACCTAAGCTCTCATGGCACACCAGTTGAAACATCACTGGTATAGAGTAGCTGTCTTAGAGATCTTTTGGGTGAGGCTTCAAGAACAACCACACCCTTTTGGTCTGCTGGTACTAGATTCTGAGACTATTCAGTAGACAGTCTTCCTCCTCTGTGACTGCCCTTTACCTTCCTCATCCCCCAACCACGCTGTGAAGGTTGGAGGACAAAGATGATTGGATTCTCAAGAAGAATAGTCCCCTTAAGAATTTCCCTCCTTATCTCAGCAGGATTAAATAGCATCCAGGCTCTGCTGACTTTCCTTTACCGACAAACTGCTAGATTTCCTGTTTTGAACTAGAATGTTTATATTGTTTTGTGGTTTTTGGCTGACTCTGTACTGAGAGAAAATTGACAGAGGAAAGAATACAGTTATAGATATCATCATTTTTTCCTTTGGGACCATGAAGATAGCATGAGAACACCTTTAGAAAACTATGAAGTGTCCCACAATTGAAAGTCTGTGTCGGGTCTTCACAACTGACCTGTAAGGCAGGGAGGGCTGATACTACGATTCATGGCTTATAGATGAGGGAATTAAATCTTCAGTATTAATTAGCTTAACTAGAGTACCCTCTCTGGTTAAGGAGTCGGCTTTTACCACAACTCTGGCACTAGATGGAGAGAGGTCATATTCTTTCTGGGCTAGGGGGCTGTTTTAAAATTGAGAGGGGTAAAGAAATCTTGCTTCTCAGCTCAGGTGGGTCTAATCTCCGAGCCTCTGCTGTTGGAGGGCACTCACCCCCTCTGATCTGTCTCTTTGGCCAGCAAGGTAGATTTCAGCCTTTCTCTTTACCTGTCCACAATAGCAGGTAAGCATGTGTTTGCACATGTAGCGGCTTCTCAGATATGGTGTTCAGATGGAACTGATGGTCCCTGAGTCCCCGCTCCCTGGTTCTGGCGGGACTCTTCATCCCACTGGCTTGAGCACAGCTGACCTGTAGGTACACCCAGGACCAGGGAGCAGTGAGAAGGGAGTCTGTGCTCTGAGCAGGTGTGTACGTGGTGTCCTGCTGCTGGACAGACAAGGCCTGCAAGGTGCACTTTCAGTGTGGTTTCCTCTCTGTGCCGCAAAGAGTCACCTTTGTTTAAACTAGCCAAGTCATTCTGTGGGTCGGAGCAGGCTTTGGCTGGAGGAAAGGCTGGTTAAAAAGGAAATATGTGCTTGCTGATGGAACACAGACTCAGGTCTGTTCAGGATCAGCTGTGACTGTCCCTGTGGGCCTGGGCCAGTTACTGCCCCACTTTGCTCTTCTCTTATTTGCCTTGACTGTGAGCAGGACACCTCCAGGAGGCATTCTGCTTCCATGCACAGGGTGGAGAAACAAGTTTGTAATCTCTCAGGCAATCTGGGCTGGGTTGAGGTTTTTGCTTTGGTGTCTGGTTGTCAGTACTTCTGTGTGCCCCGTGTGTCTCATGACCTTGAACCTGCTGGCTCTATCCTGCCTGCATTTTTGAACACCAAGAGGGTCTTACAAATCAGCTGTGTTGGCAACCCCCAATGGTAGTCAGTTCAGTTTCCCACATTCAACCATAATAATAAATGGAAAATTATAGAAATGAACAATCACTATGTTTTAAATTAGTGCATCATTCTGAGCAGCACGAGGAAATGTTGGGTCATCCCACTCTGTCCCACCATGAATCACCCCTTTGTCCAGCAGACCCAAGATGTGTACTCTGCCCACTTAGTAGCCATCTCGCTTGTGAGATAAATGGTCATGATATCACAGTGCTTACGTTCAAGTCACACTTTTCTTCATAGTAGCCCCAAAGAGCAAGAGTAGTGATGCTGGCAGTTCAGATATGCCAAAGAGAAGCCAGAAAGTGCTTCCTTTTAAGTGAAAAGGTAAAAGTTCTTGACTTGATAAGGAAAGAAAAAATTCCTAGACGGAGGTTGTGAAGATCTACTATAAAAATGAATCTTCTGTTCACGAAATTATGAAAAAGGAAAAAAATTTCATATATAATGTCTGTAGGGTTTAGTACTATCAGTGATTTGAGGCATCAGTGGGGGTCTTGGAATATATCCCCTGCAGATACGGCAGGACCACTGTATCAGCCAAGTGTGAAATTATAATAACAGCTACATTTACTGAAGGGGTCCTGGGTGACAAGCACCAGGGTAATGTGCTCTGTGGGCTTATGTAACCTCACTTAGTCTTGCCAAAGACTTCCGTGTGTACTGTTAATATTTCCATTTTATAATGAGAATGTGAAAGTCAGGTTTAGATTTAGTAACTTGTCTAGGTCATGCTTTTCGTAACTGGTAATAATTTGATCCATGGTCTAGTTGACTTCAAAGCTTGAACTTCAATAAAGCTAACAGTCTCTGCTCTATCTGCCGTTGGAATAGCAGTGCCCTGGTAATGCCACAGCCATTTAGAAGCACTGAACTAGATTTTGATTGATGTTGGTTTATAATAAAATTTTTGTTCACTTGGAACATTGACCAGTTTGAGCTATTAGGTTATAAATGGGTGCGTTTTTTTGTTTGTTTGTTTGTTTGGTTTTAGACCTGGCTGACTTTCAAATAGTGTTACTGGGATTTATGCTTTGTAAAGAGAGAATTTTTTTCCTTAAAGAGGTTACTTGGTGAGATTATCAATGTATTCAATTGCTCCTGCAATGACTTTGGTCTTTTGGATTTTTTGAATTCTTCTGAGCCTGCATTAAGTACATTCTTTTAAACATCTGTAATAAGGGCAAATATTTATGATTTGGAATGTATTTGGTTTTTCTAATTGTCAAGTGTGCAGACGCTGAAGCAAGATAATTACATTTTTGGCCCTTAAATTGGTTCTGCAGGAATTTTCCAAAGGCAAAAATCTAAAAATGTTCTGTTCCATGGAGTGCATGGGGACTAAAAAAAAAGGAAAGAAACCACAATGTTCTGAATATGCCCAGTGAAGCCATCGTGGGCCTGAGTGCTTGGTCTTCTAAGGAGACGTCTTTGTAGGTGATCACTGTCACTTGTCCCCTCTTTACAGCGAGATGATGGTCTTCAGATCCAATGCGTTGCCTACCCGGGACCGATTGGCATCCTGGATAAGAGGTCTGTGGCTGTGATGGGAATTCTGCTGAATTCTCTTCCACTCCCTTCCAGGCTCTCTCCAACATAGCACTTCTGTTTTCTGCTCTGTGGCTTTGTGACAGCTTCTCTGCCTACCTCTTGTGATATAAAGTGGCTGTCTGGGTTTGGGATTCTTCCCGGCCACTGCATCCCAGACTACAGTTTTGCATGTCTTTGCCTCAATCAGCCTCCTAAAATAGGACACCCCATTTTGAGTTCTGTCCTCTTAGCTGTTGCTTGCTAGGGTAGGAACCTTTACTCTGCCTAGGAGAGTCACGTTATTTTACAGACACAGTCCCTGTGAAAATATCATCCTGTAATTGAGTAGTTTTAACTAACATCATATTCTGTTATTGTTCAATATCTTGGAACATCTAGTGATGTGTTGTCTTTTGCATACAAAGTACATGTTCCACGTCCTTTTTTGAATTGTTGTTCATTAGTGGTGGCTCTGTGTCAATTCTGCTATCCTTCTCATAGCCAATGGCTTGTACAAGAGTGGTCTGTGTCCACAGGCTGATCAGGGTGAATTGATGTCTGGGACTCTGCTCTGGTCAACGAGTTAATAATCTGCTATGGTAATTAAACCGTTATAGTTTGATGGAGTTATTTGCTGAACCTTTTTGAATGTTTCATCATATGGCCTTTTCTTCCTAAGGAAGCATATGTTTTATCTACTATGTTTCCCTGAAAATAAGACCTACCCCCCAAATAAGCCCTAGCAGGATTTCTGTGCATTTGTTAAATATAAGCCCTACCCCGATAATAAGACCTAGTGATGGGCGTGGCTATGCAGATACATTTCTCTGCAGAGCGGTAAGGAAGACTGGAATACCTTTTATCTGCCACAGCACCTTTCTCCAAGCCATTTGCACTTGCACGGGTGCATAGGTGGTAACCACGGTCGCAGGCATCCTGTTGCTCACTTGCCAACGGCTAGGGGAAAGGAGTTCATACATCACTAGCGCCAGACCCACCAACAAGGTCGGCTCCCCCTGTCAGGTTCCAGAAGAAGATGACTTAACTGTATTTGAATAAATGTAGATTGTTGTATTATACTTAATAAGACATCCCCTGAAAATAAGCCCTAGTGTGTCTTCTTGAGAAAAAATAAATATAAGACAGTGTCTTATTTTGGGAGAAACATGGTATGTGATAATACCTCTTACCCTTTTTTCCTTGGCATCACAATTACATACATTGTGGAGGTAGAATCGAGATTTTAATTTTTATTTGTAATTTCAGTTAGTAACCGATGAGGTACACTCAAAGCCACATCACCCATATCAATGGTGACCGTCCTCAGCGAACCCTGTTTTTTGGGCTACAGGCCAGGATAGGTGTGACTTAGCAGACAGCTTGGCTGGATGGGAATGCTTTTTAGATATAGTTCTGAAGGGGGGAGGGTGCCTCTGTCCATGAGGCAGCACAACTGAAGAATTAGCAGTTGTGACCTGTCAAAGCTTTTATGTTTATTTTTCCCATTTCTGTGATTTGTAGTTGCAAACAGAAGAAAACACAGACATCCACAATTTTTTTGCTTTTCTGTGGCTGCGTAGTTGTGTCCCATTTCTGGCTGTTACAGAATGATTTACACATCCTCTTACTCCCCACCCCTGGAAGGACAAGGGGATAGGAAAACCCCCGTGCCATCTTTGTTCATTCATAAAGACTGTCAGGAGTGCCAGGTTGGATTATACGGACTGTATTGGACACTTTTTTTGGTGTGCTGAGCCAGAGCAGAGACTGGCTGTAGTGGGCTAGAGCAACCTTAACTTGTTTTCACGTGGATCCATATGTGATGGTGCTGATGTGTACCGCAATGATCAGGGTGAATGAATGCCTCGTTTAGTGCTTTGGCTGTGTCCTGGCACAAAGGAATTGAGAAAGGGAGCTCTGAATTTTGTCCTGGCCCCCAAATTACCTGGGTATTCTAAGTAAGGAATAGATACGCACTCAAGCTAGTTTGAGTGAAAAGGGTCACTGAACATTAAAGGGAGATAGTAAGGAAGGGGTCTGGGTAACCATACGTGGCCTGGACTAGGAATGGCAAGGCCATATCCTTTCTCTCCCCTGGGGTCCCTGGTGCTGTCCTCTCCTCCCTCCGTCAGTCCCCTTTGGTCTCCTGACTCTGCAGGCTGACCTTGACTGCATCCCCAGAGCTTGGTTCTCCACCGCCTTAACTGCCACCAGGTTTCCACTTGCCATGTGCCACCTTTGACACCCACGCTCTGTGGTCTTTTCACAGCTCCACCTGCTTGGTTCCTATCCTTTCTTTGAGTAACCCAATTCTAAATTCTCAGGAGGGACATCTGGGGCCTGGCCACACGACAAGCAGGTTGCAGGGGGGTCTAATTGTTCTATTTGGTGCCTCCCTCCTGGTGTATGTTGACCTAACCTGGGGCTGTTCATCCTCTCTGCAGGAAGCAATGCCTGTGTGCCCAGGCCCTGCAGCCTGCTGTGCCTGCCCAAAGCCAACAACAGTAGAAGCTGCCGGTGTCCAGAGGGTGTGTCCAGCAGTGTGCTGCCTTCTGGGGACCTCATGTGTGACTGCCCTCGGGGCTATCAGCTGAAGAACAACACTTGTGTCAAAGAAGGTGAGTCCCTTTCTCTTTTTTGCCTGTCATCCTCCTCTTCCCCTCCATCCCTCCTGCCTCCCAGAGCTCTCTGTGTCCTAGCCTTTGGGGACTATTGGGTTATAATCAAATCCGCCAGGTACTTACAACAATGCTGGTTTGGGTCCTGAGGCCTGTGGTACTTCAGTCTTTAGCCAGGCCTCGGCTGTTCATTTAAAAGTAATCACTGTGCTTTCTGGCTTCATTCACATGACCTGGGCTTTCTGCAGGGCTCACTTTTCTTTTGCTGCTGCTGCTTACTCATCCCTCACCTCTTAGGTTCTCCACTGTCTCCTGTTTCATGTAACTTGGACTAGCCTGACTTGGAGCAATGACTAGTGTGACTCCTTCAGAGCTGCCTCCCTTTCACCTGGCAGTCCCCACCCTTTCACCCCAACCCAGCCTGAAACATCTGCAGAGGGATTCAGTTCAGAATTCCAGGCTGTACTCAGCTAGCTGTAGCATCTTCATGTCTACGTCCCCTTTGAATTTGAATCTGTCTGTTTAAAGTGTTTTTACTCTGAAAACCTACATCATTTTACTTTGCTGTCTAATTTTCCCGCTCACCACATCCCTGGTCTCGGGCTTTACATTTCTGCCAGTGAGGTGAATCCCTGGAAGGTACCTTTTCCGTGCATTGCCCAGATTGACTTTCCTTATTCCCCAGGTTATATTTGCTTTGTAATCCTGGCCTCGCTTCTCACAGCAGTCCCTGAGTTCAAGGCAGTGAAATGCATAATATGTTTAGAAGCCGTAGAGTCTGTCTTCCTTAAAAAATATAATCGGAGGAAAGAAAAGCCTTTTTTAGGAGCAAGAGGCCTTCTTTTAGTCCCTCTGTGTCATCTTAAAGCTATTTGGAAAGAAGGAGAATCGACACTAAGTTCCAAGAGGAGGGGGAGAAGGCTCCGTATCCCCGTCAGAATGCTTTTGATTATCCAGATGAGAGGCAGGTGATCACGGGTCCTTGATCTAGATTGCCCAAGGATGCATTTTTTTCTGTAAAGTATTATAAGTGCTTGCTTTGAAGAAGGCATCGGGACAGAAAAAAATTCTCAATCCCTAGAGAAAATCTTTGTAACTCATTTGGCTAAAAATTGACTAGATTAGGGGATACATAACTATTAAAATATAGGTATAGACATATTGAATGTATATGTTGTAATACTGTGTAGACACAGTCCACAAAGGAGCTGGTGTGTAATTTGTATTTTATTATGTCAATGTGGCATTTTTACTACTCACTGGGCCAAGTGGTATCATCATTATCCTTTTTCATCATCGTTTGTTTTTGTAGTTTTTGGCCAGGGCTGGATTTGAAGCCACCACCTCTGGCATATGGAGCCAGCGCCCTACTCCTTTGAGCCACAGGCGCTGCCCCTCTCCTTTACTCTTAATTGAGAGAGAAAAGATGCAGGCTACTCTGGGATGCTTCCTTCCCTGTGTGTGTGTGTGGCTGCCATTCTTCCTCTCCCATTATTATCTAAGGCGTAATGTTTTCTTTTCTTTTTTTTTTTTTTGAGACAGAGTCTTACTTTATTGCCCTGGGTAGAGTGCTGTGGCGTCACAGCTCACAGCAACCTCCAACCTTTGGTCTTAAGCGCTTCTCTTGCCTCAGCCTCCCAAGTATCTGGGACTACAGGCACCTGCCACAATGCCCTATTTTTTTGTTGTAGTTGTCCTTGTTGTTTAGCAGGCTAGGCCAGGTTCGAACTGGCCAGCCTCAGTGTGTGTGGATGGCGCCCTAAACACTGAACTTATGGGTACCATACCTCTAAGGCATAATGTTATTAGAGCAGGGGAAATGGAAACTTAAAAGAGAAAGTCTTGTGGTCCAGCAGTAAGAATAATCCTGGTTTGTTTCCTCCCCTCCTCTCCCCGCTGACGCTCAGAGAACACCTGTCTCCGTAACCAGTATCGCTGCAGCAACGGGAACTGCATCAACAGCATCTGGTGGTGTGACTTCGACAATGACTGTGGGGACATGAGTGACGAGAGGAACTGCCGTGAGTCTCCTGGCCTTGCCTGGTCATTAAGATGTGCAGCATTTACCATTTGGAAGGGTGGTCAGCTCTTCTGGGAGGGGGCCTAAGCTATATCAGGGTGTCCAACCCACAGCCCGTGGGCCACTGGCAGACTATTTGAGGACGTTTTTGCCTATCTGTGGTGGCGGATAGCCACAAAGTGATACATGGACCTTTTATGTAGCTCATCAGTTTTTCTTAGTGTTTTGATTATCCAAATGCTTTTGATTGTCCAAATGAAAAGCAAGTGATCACGGGTCCTTGACCTAGTTTGCCCAAAGATGCATTATTTTCTGTAAAGAATTATAAGTGCTTGCTTTAAAGAAGGCATAGGGACAGAAAAAAATTCTCGATACCTAGAGAAAAATCTTTGTAACTCATTTGGCTGATCATTGACGGATTAGAGTATACATAACTATTATAATATAGCTCTTTATAAACATTAATGCTTATTGGCTGCATTGAAGCGGCTTTTATCTCTTAATTGAGAGTAAAGGAGAGGAGGCTAGAGGTGATCAAGGTGCAGTCTGGGCTCACAGTCTGAGGAGTGAGTCAAGATGGTAGACAGGCATTTAACATGTGGCCCAAGACAACCCTTCTTTGGCAGAGAAAAACCAAACGGTTGGGTGAGGAGCCCATGACTGGTGATGCACATCTAAGTGGATGAGGTTTGGATGACAAAGCAAACATTTCCATCCGTAGCCATATATTCGATATATGGCATGAATATTTGGTACATATTATTTTGTTGATTTATTTTTATTTCAAACAATTTAGGGAGTACAAATGTTTTTTAGGTACCTATTTTTAAAATGACGCAGATAAGTCGGTTGACTCCTCATCACATGAGATTTATAAATAAACATCTCAGGGTTGAAACTGAGCTGATTTGGGAGTCCTTGGCTCTGGCACTGTAATAAAGCTGGTGGCTTAGGGCAGGTGACCAGGTTGACAGTCTTTGATTTGTAAATTCAATAGTCAGCCTTTTCAGGGGTCAGAAACAGATAGTACCTAGTATGGCACTCCAGTTAGTTGATGTTGGCTACTTACCAGGCTCAAGAGAGATTGTTTTAATTGATCAGTCGTGTGCAACTTGGCCTAGAACGTGGGAATATTGGTATGCCTGCCATGTCAGTGTCATCTTTGGATGGTCTAATTTTTAATGTTCTGACTACTAAAGTAAATGACCCTCTTTGGCAGGATTTAAAGAAAAACAACTTCTTATAATGGAGAGCTTGTTAACACAAATCTCTGCTTTTCTTCACTTAATGTTTAGTTGCCTTGGCATTACCATGAGAAGGTTCGTTCTCTTGTCACTCTGTAAGTGTGTAGTGCGCACCCTCTGTTCTAGGCTCCATGCTGGGCTTGGGTCTGTGCTGGTGATCAAGGTGGAGATGGGGTTCCCAGTCTGAGGAGGGAGTCAGGAAGGTAGGCAGGCAGTTACAGTAGAGCCAAGAGTTCTGCCATGGGGAAGTGGTGTGTACTGGAGGATGGGCGCCCAAATCAAATGTGGGTGGGCACTAAGGAAGGGCCCTGACCAAGCACAGGTGCGGGGAAGGACGTCATAGGCAGAAGACCAGCACGTGGGAGGACAGCACGTCTGGGAAACTGGTGTGGGTTCTGGACAACATTGGAGAATGTGGGGTGGCCCAACGGGGTAAGGTGGGGCTGCATGGGTATGCAGGGCCCAGGTCAGAAAGGGCCTTGTGGACGTTATTCCAGGAGCAGTGGGAAGCCCTGATGTGACATAAGATTTTGCCTTGGGAAACATAAGCAGCGGGCAGAATGCTTTGGGTGAGAGAAAAACCAGAGGCAGAGGAGCCAGAGACCAAGTCAGAGGGCTCCTCTTTCACATATTTACCTTCAGCATCCCAGAGGCTCATTCCAACTCGTCCTATAAGAGCAGATTAATGGGCAGCTCTGGATGCTCTTCTGGCCCCGGCAGATACGTTAGCCAGGTGTCCGAGGGGCCTGTGCCAGGCTCCCAAGCTACTTCATCCAGAAAGCAACTTGAGAAGCATTCAGCTCAGCAAACCCGTCTGGGCCCTGCAGTCCTCTGGACGCCTCTGTTGGTGGGTAGCACGCTGCTGGCACAGCCACGATCATGTTCCCGTGGCGTCAGTGGTTGCCTTTCACACTGAGGGAGAAGAGCGTCTTGAACGGCAGGTTTGGGAAAGCCTGTCTGTGTCTCTTTTCTGCTGAAAGGGTCCATAAAGCCTTCTCCATCTGCCTGGGTGGCAGGAAGGTGTATTTGTGGGGCAAGAGCCAAAGCTCTTTATAAACATTAATGCTTATTAGCAGCATTGAAGCAATGGTGGAAAGGAGCGTATTATATACTGGGGTGGGGGAAGAGATGCTTCTTACTAAGAGATTGCAAGGCCATTGCCCAGTCATAGTTAGGATAGAGGGAGTAGAAGGATGACCTCATAGGCAATGGCGAGGGGCACAGATGGCACGTCGTTCCTCCTCATGCCCTTGGGCTTGCTGTCTACTAAAGGGACGGGCTAGCTCTTGTGTTACCTCCAAGATTTGAGAGAGGTGAAGACCCCCATCTTTTGGGAGACCCCTCTTGCCCTCAGTGGCTTCCTCCTACCCAGTCCCTCAAACATCTTCTCTTTTAATTCTCCACGCAGAGGGTAAGGTCCGGTCTGAGTGAGGTGTGGTGCTGGCACTGCCCTCCTCCTCACGTGGTGTGAGTGTCGGCTGGATGGACTTTCTGGAGTCCTCAACACTTCCTTTTTTCTCTGCTGTCGTCCATTTCTGCTCAGCTCAGGCCCTCACATGTCAGATGGGGCGGGGGCTTGGAGATGATGGATGGAGGGGTTAAAACACAGAGCTGGGGACTCAGGACAGGGTGGCTTACCTGTGCCATTGCCCGCATCTCCCTTATCAGGGAAGCTGTGCATGGAGGAGAGAGGTACTTATAGATGGCGGGAGGTGCCCTGGAGGGCTGCAGGAGGGGGACAGACTGGCTGGGTCCTGCTGGGTGAGGAGTTCACTGAGGATCCCTGTCAGCTGCCAAGGAGCAGGACGGGGATGAAGGGACAGGGGAGGGATGTCACCCGGTTTCCCTCCCTCTTACACAGACTCCTCCAGCTGGGTGGTTGTCAGACACTCAGGGTTTTGACGCGAATCCCCTGCAGTCTTGTCATTTTGCATTCATTCCCTGCCTCCCACCACGAGCTCAATTACAGAGGAGAAATGGAGCCTCACATAAAAGCTGCCGCGATGTCTAACAGCCGTGCTGCTGTTTGGCGTTTCATGGCACGGGATTCTGTGCTGCCACATCTCACTGTCCCCGTCAGCCCTTCACTGTTCCCAAGAGCAGCCTGCCTTCCACGTGCCTTTCCTGGAGTGTCTTTCTCTGGCTTCTAGGGACTGTGTTTAAGCACAGGAGACTTCTGTATAGGAGAGGGAGAAAAATCTGGGCTCATTCTGATGCCAGAAGGGCATGAGGAATGCTGAGGAAGAGAAGGGACGTTTGTTTAAAGCCCATTACATTTACATCCTATTTAATAGGCTCCGGCCCCAAACTGGTTCTCCCTTTGTCATAGTGCTCCCAAGTAGCCATTATCTTCACTTTATGGTGGAGGGGATGTAGGCACGGAAGGGTCCACTTATGTCAGTTGTAGGCAGTAGAATTAAGATTCAGATGTAGTCTTTCTATGATCACATGTGCTTGGCCGCGTAACCTAATCCTTATTTTACTGTTGAGGAAACTGAGCCTTATGGAGGTTAAAATTAATTGGCCAAGGGAAGAGGCAGAGCCAGGATTTGCAGCCCAGACTGGACTGACTACAGAATTCTACCTCCCGGCTGCCTTTCCCATCCAGATGGGGCACCGGCTTCTCCAGTGAAATTGAGCTTCCCTAATAGTAGCTTTGTAGATAAAGGCATTTTTGCCACTTATTTGGGAAGACACCTTCACGTCTGAGGGATCCGAGGGGTAATCTACTCATTGCTCGCTCTCCCATCCAGGTGACAGTTTCTCACGTCTGTCAGCCCCGTTCTGATCTGGAAACCGTTCATAGAAACATACGCCCTTATCTCCCTCGGTTGTGAATTTCAGGTTCCTGTGCAGTTCATTTTTTTTCTATCAGTATAGGTTTAATTTCTGTTGCTAGAATTTAAATCTGTTTTCTTTTGCTTTTTAAATTGGTTTTGCAGTAGGATGTTTGTGTCTGGGGGAATTAATCGCACCCCATGGAATCTGTCTTTCTCTCTCCTTTCAGCTACCACCATCTGTGATCTGGACACCCAGTTTCGTTGCCAGGAGTCTGGGACTTGCATCCCGTTGTCCTACAAATGTGACCTTGAGGATGACTGTGGGGACAACAGTGATGAGAGTCACTGTGGTAAGGCACACGCTGTCCAGAAATCCCGATTGAAGAGGGGGCCACCCCCATGCTTGCTCCCTGGGCTGTACTAATGGGTGGGGTTTGTTGGAAATGCAAGATTTCTGATCTCCCAGCTGGGTGGCCACCTCCAGCCTGTGGTAGCATTGAGTCATTTCTTTTCTTTCTTAAAAGGCTTGTTGGTTGCTTTTCATGAAGATTTAATTCCATTGCAAACACCTGATGCAGAGTTAATGGACCCCGGGTTCATGAGTCTAGACCAGGGGTCCTCAAAGTTTTTAATCAGGGGCCAGTTCACTGTCCCTCAGACCGTTGGAGGGCCGGACTGTGGGCCCCGGGACAAGTCGGCTGCTAAGCAGGACAGGCAGTGGTGGCAAAAACACCTGGTGGCTGAATAAATGTCCTAGGCGGGCCACATGTGGCCCATGGGCCATAGTTTGAGGACGCCTGGTCCAGACTTAGCTCCTGTCACTTGCTAACTCTTAGATTAGTTTTTATTTTCTAATCTGAAAGATGGGGGAGTGATGCTGTGCTTTGAGAGGTGCTGTAAGAATGAAAGCTGATAGGAAGTGAGATTTCTTTTTCTTTCTTTTTTTTTTTTTTTGAGACAGAGTCTCCCTATGTCACCCGTGGCATCACAGCTCAGAGCAACCTCAAACTCTTGGGCTTATGTGCTTCTCTTGCCTCAGCCTCTCAAGTAGTTGGGACTACAGGTGCTCACCACAGTGCCCAGCTAAGGAAGTGAGATTTCTGAATGAGCTCAGAGGGGTACTGACAGCTGCACAGGCGTGGGCCACATCTCCAAATGGGAGTGAGATTAGCCTTCTGAAGACTCAGATCTGTACCTTGGTGAACTGGTTTTTTTTTCTTTTCTTTTTTTTTTTTTTTTAACCAATTTAATTAAATAAACTGTTAGGAGTCAGCAGATGGTATCGGCATTGACTGAGCATCTGTTTACTGAATGGGAATTTTTATATTTAGAGAAACAGCGGGTTATAATGGTAAGGAATGACAGGGATTCTCTAGTCCAGTCTTTTTGATTCCTACACTAAGTGACAGGGGCCGGTAGAGATCAGGAGACTTATTTAAAGTATCCGAATGGGGAACTGGAATCCTTACCTCCTCTTTTTAAATTCCGTGCCCTTTCTGTCATAATACGCTGCCCTGCCAGTTTCACGAGACCTAGCTTAGTTTGCAGGGTCTGGTCCCAAGCTCACAGTTGCTGGCTGTAGCAGGAGGCATCATGACACCCAGAGTGTGTAGGATTGGAGGTGGGTGAGCGGGGGGTGGGGGTGGGGGAGTAGGAGAAGTGAAAGTGGAGGCCAGGCACTGCCCCTGACCTGGCTCTGCCTGACCCCATCGTCTCCCTGTCCATGGGAGCAGGTCCAGCCCCACTGTGTGTGTGTGTGTGCATGGGCTGGGCCTTGCTTTCTTATGAGTAGGTGGTTTGCCTCACAGGGACTGATGTGAGGGGAGCAGGAGCTGCTGGTATATCGTCCTAACACGTGTTAACCAACACAGCACAGCAGGCCACCTTCACACTTCTGGCACTTGGAGGAAATTTTTTTTTTTTATTCCATGGTTTTCCATCAAGTGCCAGAAAACATGTCATTGGGACTCACAAGGCCATGTTTTCTGTTCATTCTATTGTATCTCCCCAGCACTTAGAAGGCTGCAGTGTGCCGCTTGTTTGCTCTGTAGGAGGGAAATCCACGTGTTTCTGGGGTATCTCACTCTCCCACGGGGCTTTACTCACCCTCCCTGGATGGCCTATTCTGGCTAGTTTATCTTGAATGCCTCTCAAGGCCCCAGTTAGTCCCTTCCTCTGAGGCAGGCCCTCTTTCTAAGTCTTCACACACTTCCCTTATAATTATTTCACTTGACTTACCATCAGCCTTTCTCTGGACAAGAGTGACCAGGACAGCTGTCCTGGACCCTGTGCTTGGCCACTCCTATTTTCCGAGGCTCTATAAATTCTGTACCTCAGCCCGTCCAGGTTCTGTAACATTGCACCTTAGACTGGGTAATTTATAAACTCTAGACGTTTGTCTCTCACAGTTCTGGAGGGTGGGAAGTCTAGATCAAGACATCAGCAGTTTCACAGTCTGATGATGGCTGTGCCTCCTATCCGAGGCCTTGTCTGCATCCTCAGCTGGCAGGAGGAGTGGCCAGCGGTGACTGTCTTTTATAAGGTCACCAATCTGCTGATGATGGCTCTGCCCTCCTGACTTAATAATTACCTTGTAAGGCCCTACCTCTCAGTACTATCACACCGGTGATTAAGTTCCAACATGTGAAGTTTAAACATTTGATTTTGCTAGCCTCTAGAACTATGAGAAATAAATGCATTTCTACTGCATACAGTAAATTCAGACCACAGCATTTTGTTTTAATGGTGTCCCCAGGAACTTTGAAAGATGTTGCCAGGGCAGCCTCCTTTCGTGGGTTGGTTAAGCCGTACTGGTTAGTTTGCACCCGGTCCCCACCCTACAGTACATCTGCATATCCGTGGAGTTCTTCCCACATTGAGTTCAGAGCTATGTTCCTTTCCTTCATTTTAGAAGCTCAGCACTGATCCCTTTCCCTGAGCTGGGCATCCCACAGTGATCAGCTCGCAAGGACCTCTCAACACTTCTTTTCTGAGACTCCGGGCTGTGTCTCTAGGAGTCTTCTGTTTCTTGAAAGTTCTACTCCCCTGGCCGCCTCCATCACTGTTTCCTAACTGCCTTCCCATCATAGCGAGTAGAGAAAATGTCAGTATTTCACACGGCCACTAGCTGTGAGAGTCTGAAGCATGAGCGTCTCATACTTACAACCCATACTCACTGGAAACTACTTAGATGACCTCACACTCCCGGGTAACTGTCACGGTGACAATAGAGTCCTCTGTGACCCTCCTGAGCTTGGCGTCAGGATGGAATTGAGGTCCAGCCTGTGTCTCACGTCTGTTTGTGAACTCCCTGCAGAAATGCACCAGTGCCGGAGGGACGAGTACAACTGCAGCTCCGGCATGTGCATCCGCTCCTCCTGGGTGTGCGACGGGGACAACGACTGCAGGGACTGGTCTGACGAGGCCAACTGCACAGGTCAGTGCCCCTGGGGGTGCCCAGCCCTTTCCTGTTGCATCACGGTGCTACGTGATCCGAAAATCTAGGCTCTGAGAATTGGCCTGGACCTTAAAATACCAACTTGTTTAGTGCAAGCTGGTCTATGACGAGATAAGGAGCTTGAGCCAGAATCAACAGGCAGCCTCTGCTCCCTTCATCGAGAAAGTCTACGAAAAAGTGTCAACTGACAGAATGGGGTTCTTAGTGACGGAGCTGCTGGCTCAAGATTCTTTCTTCTAGGACCAGGGATGAGTGGTTCATAGACTGGCCTCTGCCTAAGGGCCACAGGTTGACTAGCATTGAACTAGGTCATGCTTTTCAAATGAAGTATCGGGGGTTACCCAGACAATGAAAATATAAACTGCGCTTATGCCTGTTTTGGGTAAGAGTTCATTAAAAATAAAGTTGGAGGCTCGGC